AATCCATCAATTATATCGACATGAGTAGCTTTCTTTATAATTTCCAAGTGCGAAGGATTAAAGATGTTTATAGTATTGGAATAGTTCTTAAATGCATCACATATTTCTTTGAAATTGATTTCAAGTTGTTCACTTAAAACATAATTTCGTTGTTCACGTTGTTGAACAAAAACATCAAGATTAACTCTTTTCACCAAAATATCATCAAAACACCAATCCGTAATTTTAGCATCTGCTCCAAATTTACTTAATATCCAACAATAATAAAACGCCGGGAATTTTAAAGGAGCAAATTGTCTATGATTATCATCATCCAATCTATTTTTCATATCAAATTCCATAGCTTTAAAAAATACTTTTTCATGATCTTTGTCAATTAACGAATACAGGAAATCCAGAACATCGGTCTTTTTCAATTTTTTGTCCAATCGAAATATTCGAAATAATTCAATTAAACATTGATGTAAAAATTCATCTAGTGATTCATTCTTTATTTTTAAAAATGCCTTTATCATTATATCTCCAACCTCAACCAATATTCTCTCAATGAATAATATTTCAACAATAACGTTATAATCCAATTCAAAACCAAACTTAATGTAATTGCTAGAGCAATACTGATTCATCCGGATTTGGTGAATGATTGGAATAAGATTGGATATCTCAGTATTTGTAAAGACGTTAATGGATTGGTCATGCAAGGTGCTATCATCATGCTTTTTTCTCCTGCATCTGCAATTAATTGGACTCCGCCAAATCCTGAGGAAGTAGTTAAGAGACTTTCGGAATTAATTAAGTTTGGTTTTGAATTGGATTATAACGTTATTGTTGAAATATTATTCATTGAGAGAATATTGGTTGAGGTTGGAGATATAATGATAAAGGCATTTTTAAAAATAAAGAATGAATCACTAGATGAATTTTTACATCAATGTTTAATTGAATTATTTCGAATATTTCGATTGGACAAAAAATTGAAAAAGACCGATGTTCTGGATTTCCTGTATTCGTTAATTGACAAAGATCATGAAAAAGTATTTTTTAAAGCTATGGAATTTGATATGAAAAATAGATTGGATGATGATAATCATAGACAATTTGCTCCTTTAAAATTCCCGGCGTTTTATTATTGTTGGATATTAAGTAAATTTGGAGCAGATGCTAAAATTACGGATTGGTGTTTTGATGATATTTTGGTGAAAAGAGTTAATCTTGATGTTTTTGTTCAACAACGTGAACAACGAAATTATGTTTTAAGTGAACAACTTGAAATCAATTTCAAAGAAATATGTGATGCATTTAAGAACTATTCCAATACTATAAACATCTTTAATCCTTCGCACTTGGAAATTATAAAGAAAGCTACTCATGTCGATATAATTGATGGATT